TGTTCTATGACCCGCTAAGAGCCCTGCGCACAGCGGAGGCAAGCGCCGAATGGTCGCAGGAGTCTGCACAGTCCTCGTGCGCGGGTCTGCCACCAACAGAGCATCTCAGCTTGTGGCAATCACATGTGGAAACCAAGCATGCGCCGTTATCCCTACAGCGCGGCTCGAATCAGCGCAAACGAACTAGTGGTCACACGCAGCCCAGAACAGACACCTGCTGGAAGACAAAGCCAATGGGCCCGCGAAGTGTCAGTGCCTCAAATCCAGGTTAGCTTCTGTGGAATTCAGAATTGAACTAAAGCAGACACTCTTGCTGCTGGCGGGATGTTGCTCATCTTCTGCAGAATGCAACTCGTAACCGTCTTGATGCTCCCGCCACGGAATCCCATACATGGCTAAGAACTGGACAGCTTCGTCTAGCACACCTGTCGTGTAAACTTGTGCGACCACGTTGGTATCAAGGAGTGCCAACAAAGTGATGGTTTGGGGTGTGATGCGCGACTTGGCCCAGCCTGTTGTATTCACATCCCGACGCAGGCGGAAGACAAAGGTGAGGCAGTTGCGTTGCAGCGGCCTGCAGAATGGTCACAACAATCTTGATGGAGCCCCATCACAACTCAAAGCTAAGATTTATGCTCGCACCCTAGAACGACAGAATCGCAGAAGTTGCTGCGCGGTGCTTTCATCTGTGCCTGTCGTTGCGCCCCAAGGCTGGATGCAGCCTGGCCTGCGCACAAAGGCGGGCAAGTGGGCTACTGCTCATTAGCGTGACTTCTTGGCAGCAAGGTACATTCAACAGCTGGCTGCAGCAACACCGACGTAGGACATGTGTGCGTTCAAAGAACCTGGAACGCCTTGCCTCTGGCATGGACTCTTTCACATGATATCCTGTTGATGTGATCCGCCAGTCCAGCTCGCGGTAGGGCTCCGTGTCCACATCAGCCTTGAACAAAGGCCCACCAAGGACAAAATGATGAAAAACAGATTTGGTCCGGCTTATGCAAGAACTGCTGAGGATGCAGCAATGCTTAGGAAAGTCCAGCAGACATGTCCTCAGCACCCGAAGTCAACATCAAACAACGGAGGTGCATCGGGCCGCAGTGGGTGTCAGTGTAAGAATTCGCAGAAACACATGCACTGGAAATGGGTGAGACAACCTGCATCCAGAATGGAAGTCTTGCATCCACCCAATACGTGTTTTGACGCTTGGCCTGCAATGGTTCAACATCTGTGGGGTTGCTGTCGCACGTCGATGCTGACTAGTACTAGTTCAGTCTGCAGACAGGGTCATGAAAAGGCCCCGAAAAAACTGAGACCTTCCTGTTTGGTTCCTCCCCCTCTGCTCCGACACCTAGTGTTCTGACGTTACGCCAGCTTTCATGCTATGGCACCAAGCTGTATCACCCGTATTCGACCTGCAAAGCTGTGCACAGGCCGAAGGGCCATTTGAGCAATCACGTCCACGTGCTCCTTCCGCAAATCTGACCTTCTCAGCTGGTCAGTGTGGGTGTTTGAGAGCTACTTGAAGGCCACTTGGGATGGTGCAAGGTGCATCGCTGCTCTGCTCTGGCAATTGACGTGGCAACCAATGCAGGGACGGCTTATAACCGTACAAAAAGACTCGCTTGCAAACCTGAGTCGCGAACCCCTGGATTCTTAGCCGCCACCTCAGGGAGAGCGTGTTAGTTGTGTAAGCGCATTCGACTAGGTCAACGGCCTCGAAGCGATACAACCCTGCAGGGATGCCGAAAGCACCGGCGATGATGAGCAGATCGACCTAGTCAAGCTAACTTTTTAAGTATGCCAAGCGACCATGCATGGCGCGTTGCGCCTGCTGGCTGCTGGACCTTGCAACAGCTGGAAAAGGCCTCGTGACAGGGGGCTGCTCATGGATTCTGACGTCACTGATGGCTGCCTTGCTGATTCCTGTTTTCTTTAAAGAGCTCCGCTTGACGCGTGCCATGTTTCTGTAGTCTGGTTTTTCTGCCTTTTGACTTGACGCCAGCGCAGTAAACCTCAGCGACTGTCTGCAATTTTGTTTGTCTGTCATGGCGCTTGACACTTCAGGCTTGTGCACATGGCCAACACCCTTCCCACAGATCTGGGGCCTCGAAGCACAAGACGCGATGAGATAGAGCTGCCGTGGAGTGGGATAGATTGACGGCAGGAGGTCAAGGTCTGGAACTTCCTCAGACGACTCCAATGTAATGATGGAAGCAGCTCTAGAGATGCAGCGCAAGAACTCTTTCCGCTCAGCCATGGAGCAAGCCGCTGGGGCTGCTGCCTTTAATGTGCAAGGCGCCGGGAAATCGAAGCCGACGGGGCTTCGAACAATGAGAGCCCCCCCTGCGGCAAATCTGACGGTTGAACCTGTCTTCTCTTGCCATGTCAGCGGGGCACCTGCAGGCACATGCGATGCAGTCTCCACCTGGTGAGCAGGACAGCAACACAAGCAGCTTGAAGTCAGCCAGCGCTGGGTCTGGCAAACGGTGTCTAGTCCAGAATCCAGTCTTGGCAACGAACTTCAGGCCTGAATGGTGAGATGCGTCATCTGGCCCTGCACTCTAGAGGCTGGATCGATCCAGGCATTCCTGGAACTTGTGCGTCATGCTGCCCTCCGTTTTATGATCACTATAATGCGGCTAGTTGGTTGCTGCTGCCACATTGACATACTTCTAGCTGAAACAGAGCAGAACCAGCAGGGCAGCGCACATCAAGAATGACACCGCACATACCAGCAGCTAAGCTACCAGTAGTTCAACATGTCTGCGCGCTACATGGATATCATTGGTCAGGTGATGATTCTTATTGCCACAGAACCCTGCGTCCAGGCGGGCGCGCAACCCACAAGCCGCACATGCATGGGCTCTGGGAAAGCTGCACAAAAAATGGCACTACTTTCTCTGCCCGGGTCTTATGCACCTCCCGACCCACCACCACTTGAATGCTGAATTTGCTGGCATTGACGGCTTTTGCTCGCTTACACCACTGTCCAGCAACACCAGCATATACTTTCGAATCGTACTGTATACTTCACAAACCGTACATGTTGGTACCAATCCCCCCCCCATCGTCATCAATTCCACGACTTCCACGACCTTCACCACAACAAAAACCTGAAAACTTTTAGCAGACAACGATACGACCCATGAAAGCTTGGCAGGTCTCTCTTATTGCCGAGATCCCTACCCTGAAGAAGCTGGCACGACGAACCCCGCTGCGTCCTCAATGCTGGGATGGCTGGAGCATGAACGCGGCCTGCCAGTTCACGCCTTCCTCCACGGGCAATGCAGTGATCAAATCACGAACCATGAACTGAACCGCTGAACAGTTCGGCTGCAACGTAGCTAGAGTTCGGGCTGAGTCCAAACACTCGAATCGCCTGTTAGTGCACCGATGACAGGAAGTGTCTGTGCCAAAATCACAAAACTTTGTATTAACAGCAACCAACAGCCCACAGGCTAGCATCCACGCCTGTGGCCCAGGACTGGTCGTAGCCAAACCTGTCAGCTGATTTTTGTCTGTTGCCGTGCCTGTCTGGGCAGAGAGTCTGAGGCGACAGCTCAACGAAGAATGCGTTGGATGATGGAAGGTCAGAAGCTGTGGCTGGCAGGCGGACCCACGACCAAAACCTCTGTGGCAACTCGAGTTGCACCAGAGAGGGTGAGTTGCAAAATCGGAGCACACGAACAACCCCACGAATTATGCGCTCAACATGCTGGTTGCCATGACTCAGCACGCCGAGGCCGCAACCCATACGTCTTGTTGCTAAGGTACCTCCGTGACCCCATGTAACAATGTAGAGGCTTGGCACTCCACCCTACCGGAGCCATGGGAATCTGCCGTTTTTCTTGACTTGGCTCGCACGGGAAGACTCCCTGGCTGTGGCCATCTGCCCCCTGCCTGGTAGCAGGCCATCGGAGGAGGTTGGCTTCGGCAACAGGAATCTCACCTTAGCCATGGGATCGTTGCAGCTGAGGTGTGTTTGCAAGTGTGTCCATGTGTGCTTCAGTCTGCCTGGAAGGTCAGCCATGGTTTCATCCAGCCCGGTGCCCTGGGAGGTCACGAGGACGTCTATGGCTGGTCTATGCCGGCGAGTTTCTGATTTTTTCGAGGTTTCAGCTCAGCTCACAACTGGCAAACGCAAACAGCACGGAATGTCAAAACGCGTGATCCTCCACGGATTCTCTGGAACAATCCCTGACCTCATCAGGGAGAAGCCACGTGTAGCCGGTGGGGGCGCTAATCCTGTTCCAGGGGTCGCAATAGACAGCATGGAAACAGCTCTGAGACAGCCCCACTCCAGACAATACGATCCGTCAACGTGCGAGCAGCTTCAGCATCCTATATGTTTGGCAGTCCCGCCAGCCTCACTGCTGCCAGAATGTCCACCTGCTGAAGAGGTCTTGACTATCAGGGTTTACAGCAAAAGCTCAATCATTTGCAAAGTGGCATTCGCCAATTGGTCGCTTTTTGCAGAGGCTCTCCTCAAGTGTGAGCCTGTACAACCGAAGCTTCGAACTAAGACCGGACTGATGCACGCCTTGTCAGAGTGCAGTCCTCGTTCTTGGCACTGCTTCTAGTTTTACACAATGAGCGTATACATTCAAAATAACTCTTGCGTAGCAGTCAGGCACGACACTCTCCACGTCCGCGCGCGTGCGCACATGAAGAGGAAGCATGTGACCAGGATGTGTCACAGCCCCCGCTTCGCGGGGGCCGTGGAAGATTCTGAGCTGACGTTTTCCAAAAAGTGCAGGCCCCTATAAACCAGAAGCTGCAAGAAAACGGTCAAGATTCAGTGGAAAGTGTTGCAGAACCACCTCGCTGTTTCAAGACTTGGTTTGCAACGAATTTGGCCGGCTAGGACATCGTGTCTGCCTTTACCTCTCCGACGGTTCTGGTTTAGCCGCACTCGGAAGTCTTCGGAATGGCCAGATCTTTGTCCTGTCAAGCGCATGACTCGAATCTGAACATCGCTGGGTGGCTCCTTTCCAGCCTCAAGCAAAAATGCTCTCACTCGGTGGGATGCGTTTTGGTGGATCCACGGAGGCAGGGATCTCCTCCTGACACCGGCATGGGACACATGGGCTAGAACAGATGCAACGTGTCAGGACGAACGCGGTATTCATGTATCTCAAGTGGTAGGGAATTCCACATCCTCATGGCAAGTCTCACTAAAGCACAGCCTATGGAACCTAGCGCACAAACTTTGGAGCACCTAAAATTCCATGATAGGTGAACATCTGGATTTGAAGAGCTGACCTGAAGTTTGTCAAGGGCGGTGGACAGTTCCTGCTCTGCTTGCATGGCCTCAGCAAAAATATCCAACAACTCTGCTGTCATCCAGGCGGCAAACAGAGGGTGTACCACCAACAGACCTGGGACAGACCTTGTGAAAGACCCAAAAAAAACGAACCTTGACAAAGGGATGCGACTTCGACGAAGGGAAGGAGGTTGTTTATGAAGCTGTGCCTCTGCAGCGTGATGTTCTTCAATTCCCACCTCTTATCCCGCACCCAGACAAGTTGACAAACCACGACCCCAATCAAGCAACCAAGGGAGCGAAGCTTTGACAAAGCTACAAGGGTTGAATCAAGGCCGCAGGCTTAATCGAGCCTTGTTTAGGGTTCGCACGGTGGTCTACCTTTGGGCCATCCCCTGTGTTCTCCCCTCGGTCACCGTTTCAAAGCAATCTCACACTTGTTCCTGGTCATGCCGTGCTGGCTTGCGCTGGGCAGTCAGCTTCTGTTGCTGCCGCATTGATTCGGTCAGCTGAGATCCAGACGAGCTTTTTCACTTCCGGCAAGCCCTTGGATTAGTTTTGGTCGCATGCAGAGACGTGGATACCTAAAAACATGAGAACTAGGTCTGTTTCAAGCCACTGGAAGCAATGGCGTCATCGGCTTCTTCAGAGGTGTCCCGGATCCACGCGCCAGTCGCTGCATGTCCCACTGCGCCAAGCGGCGAGGCCTTGGCAGATCTTGGCAGACGAGGAGTCAAGCGATGCGGTCTCCGCTGGCCCCTGAGCTAAGCAAGCAGCGTCGAGACAAGGCCTTCGGGCGAGGGCTCCTTGATGTACCTGTTCTCTTGGGAAACTGCAATTATGTATAATGGCATGTTGCGGTCTCACATTTTCTGAACATGGTATCGGACTAGCTCAGATCGGTGCGACATCTCTCTGGATGGCTTCCCGGGAAATGGATTGCGAGGCATTCGAAGCGAGTCATCCCAAACAAGGTTCCTGTGACATCCATAGCCTGGAGAGTCAAAAGAATTAACGCTTTGGCAGGCCTGGGACCTCTCATGTGCTGGCTCAAGACCTAAGGACCCAGCTGGACATTGCCCAGCGAGGGTTCTGCGATCTCTCCCCATAATGGGTGCCCATTGGGAGGAAGTCCTGAGGCAAAAAACGGGCACCCCGGGGGGCACGGGCCTTCCGTTTGCAACCAAAGTTCGGATCTGAGTGCTGGCAAGTGCGCTGGGCGGAAGTTCTTCTTTGTGAGGGGGCTGTCCTGCATTCGGGACATCGGCTCAGAAAATGCGTGAATCGCACCCGGTGTCCTCATAGAAGTGGAAGCCGTTAGAAGATTGCCATTTGAAGGGCAACGTCCGATGACCGTAGTTCGTGTCGAAGCCCCACTTCGTGTCGCTCATGCCGCGGGTGGGCAAGGCTACAACGATGGCACGTTCGGCCTAGATGCTTGAGCCTACACGCCAAGCCGGAGCAATGCTTGATTGCCATCTGCACCAGCTTCAATGAAAGCAGCTTCAGTTTGCACCCGCGTCATCTCCAGGTCTTTTCCCCCTCCTGTGTTAGGCACTCTGCCTGACCTTCCAATGGGCTGCCAGCAGCTTGTGAAAGCTTCCCAAACCGCGCGTAGATACTGACCAGCTCACGCACACTAACTTGCAAATTCACACGAGCCACACTCCTGGTTTCTTTGCGCGAACATTGCTGCAACAAAGCTGCAGGCTCAGGAAGCTTAACTGCTAGCAAATAGGAGGCTTCTGCGGCCTTTGTGGAGCTTGCCCGACGGTCTAAGGAGCGAGCACAGCCACCCCAGCGTCGGCCTCCAGTTGTTCGAGGCTCTCGAACAAGCGCAACCATTCCGTGGACACTGCCCGTTCCAAGTTTCAAACCAACACGAACCAACACATTACAGACTTCCAAGCTGTCCGGTTCTGCTTGGAATGCACGGCGTGGCTCTCCGAAATCTAAATGCCAAGCAGGCTTGGCAGCTCATCAACATTAAACATCATGAGACAACTGGATACATATGTCAAGATGTGACAGCCCGCACCTGATGCTGTGTTTACAGCAACGATTTAGGATGATCTGCAAACGCCTGATGGCCGTGGAAGGATAGCTCTATGAACTCTAACAGCTGCGTACTGCCTTCTCCCTTTGATGCATCCAAACCAATACCTCGAATATGCGGCATTGGAGAAAGCAGACCGCACTATGCCTGACCGTGCGGCCACGGCGTCTAGGCTGTAGGGTTCTACAGCACATGCGAGGACGATTTCAAAGGAAGCTTACGAATCCTCCTCATTTCCTGAACATCAGCCCAGAACAGGTTCAAAGCTGACAGACCCCACCAAGTGTCGAGTCTAGTTCCTTACTCGCTCTGTGCTGCCAGTACCACAAAACAAGCAACAGAAAGGTTTGTTGAGAATCGTTCTCCTAAAAGCTCATGTGAAACTAAGGCTTCGCCTTTTTGAAAATCAAACTATGTCAGTAGTGCTCTGCGGGCTCCCCGAAATGCGAAACTAAAACTCGGCTGCCTCCAAGACAGCTTACACTCACATAATGTCATCGTGATATGATTAATGACATCATGATATGATTTGGCGTCTCGCTGCGGGAGGCCGTATGAATTACGGGCAGTGTGACCAGCAAAGAGCCGTCGCGAAGAACACTGACAAGAATCGTTGGCCGCTGTGCGAGAGCTGGGTCAATCAGCCTGTGAGGAGTGTGGCATCCGGCTTTTGCTTACCTAGGAACTAGGAACCAATGGGCACGGGAAGTCCGGAAATGCCCAACATGCTACAATCCCCGTTCATTAGGCCAAAAAAGATCCTTCCCTTCGGGAAAAGAGTAAAATCGGCAAACTGAAAGCCAAGCAGCCCATTTCCCAAAGCTTGAAGCTTTAAACACCTTGGCGTCATGTCGCCTACAGTCTTGAGTCTTGATGTGAATCCGGCGGGTCTGCATTTCTAAAATTCTCACCAACAAACTTTCCATAGGCCGAAGAGCTGAAATTGCAGGAGCAACAAAACAACTGGACTGGTATCGAAAAGCATCTTGCATCCGGCAAGGAAGCTGAAGTCCCAGCCCAATGACGAGGATCAACAGCCATCTACATGCAAGCTCATAGGCCACAGCATGTCATTCCAGAGTTTAATAGCAAGCTGCCTTCTTCCTGCGTGCACCTTTCTTAGACAATGCTTGCTTTCCTGTAAGTTGACAGTGGGAATGCTCATGCTAAGTTTGCATTAATGCTTGCTTCGAGCATGCGACGTTCAGCTTGGAAATCATATGAGAAAATGCAGGTTTCTCAGCATTTGGCCTGTGATCGTCACAGTATGGCGTGCCTCTATCCTCATCCTCAGTATGCAAACAGCCAAGTGTTGTCAACCTTTACTACCATGTGTCGATTTACTGGCGCCAGTATGAGACGGAAATGACGCAGAGAACCTTCATTGCTGTGAAGAATGTTGCATGTTCTCTATGAAAACGCAAATGGCTCCTGAATCTCTTTTTGGGCGTCGTTTTTGCTTACATTCAATCTAGTCTTCTTGCTGCTGGCCTGATCTTGGCTCTAGCTTTGTAAAACATCCGTCAGGAATTTCTGTTTAGGAGAAAGAGGGCCCTGCCGTTGGTCCTTTTCAATGCAGCAGGACTCCCGCTGCAGTGTTGAAAACAAGGCTTCCTTTCCAAGACAGCCTTAAGAAATTGTGAAAGGCTCAAAACCCTTTTCTCAGCAATGGGCTCGCATCGGCAATACTGTGAACGCTCGAATTCCAACAGTTGGCTTTACATCCCTGCAAGCTTTTTGTGTCACCGTTTCCCAGTCCTCCTTCCCGCTAAAGCCGCTGGCAGCCTCCATGTCTTTAGGCCAAGTTGCATCCTCCGTCCTGCGTTGCGCTCAGTCTTAAATGATAGGGGTGTGAGATTTGGCCTCGCTCGCGCGACCTGGAAGCCAGGCATGGCCTTCCCTACACAAAATCTTGAAGAGGCAATGGCCTTCGAGAAGATAATTAGCTCACATCCACACCCCTTAGGGTCAAGAGGCCTGCACGCCTGATCTTGCAAAGATCCAGCCAACAATCCTTCAGTCGTGTGTGTGGGTCGCTCAAGGGCCTCAAGCTCAAGGGGCGCTCGGGAGATTCAAGGGAGATCCGGGCCTCCTGGATGATGCTGGTCGCCTTGCTGACAGTGCCCGCTGCCGCAGCTCCTTCAAGGGCTGGCCACGCCGTGGCCTGGTAGAATTCAGCTTCGAGAAGCGACTCCGGACTGGTAGAATTGAGCATTTTATTAGCAACAAGACTTTGCCATGATTTCCGATCAAGTTTTTACTTGCCTTGCGCGAATCTTATAATTGCCAGCGAGGTACGTTGACGGCGCAGAGGATGGAGGTTTGACCGCAAATTCACGCATGTACCTTGACTGCAAAGCGCATGTCTTGACGCCATGCTTCAGTTCTGCTGAAGGCGCGATGGATGTTGGATACTTGTTGCAAGTTTAGGATGCTATTTCCGACATGCTCAATGCGGTCTTGTCGGCAATGCGGTCTTGTTGGGTGCCACTTTGCAGGGGGCTGCGCACCTGCAGATTCTCAAGATCATGAAGACTCCACCTTAGCCGTACATGTTTTCTCGACGGGGGGTGTCCTGATCTTGTCAACTCGTGCCACCATGGCCTGGAGTAGGCTTTTGACCGAGCTACAGTCCGTTTACCAGTAGAAGTTGGGTTGGCTTTGTTGCTTTCGTCAGTTGAGCGTATGAGTATAGCTAAGCAGCTAACCTATGGCGCACCCCCGTTTTACGTCCATACCTCGAGACCCTAATACCTAAGGGTTTTAGCAGTTGAATAGCCCCCTATGCGTAGGCCCCTACAGCACCTTTTTACAAGGCCCCTTTCCTATCTAAGAAGCCCCCTATCCTGCACATGAACCCCTGCATGACGCGCCCTGACCCAAAGACAAGGTCGCCCAAGCTGCCATCAGAGAATGGTATGTAATCTCTAAGCCGTTCAGGTTTTCTCTCAGTCCTAGTGGCTGGAAGAGCCTCAGAAGATTTTGCTGCCAGTTAGGTCTGAGCTCATGAAAACGCACAGGAGGCCATGAGTTCTCCCAGTCACGGCGGATTGGTCTGTTATAATGCGTGTCAATTAGGCTGTGATTTCTTGATCTAGTAGACAGATCTAGTCACGTGTTCAGAGTTCATTGCGGACGCTGCCATGACCGTAAACCCTGCACAAGCTCTGAACCCTAATCAAGCCAACCCCTCAGCCCTAAAAAGCCCCAACCCCAAACCCTAAACAACTCCGCATTCTCAGCCTGAACGGCGTGGACAGCAAACCTTACACAACCAAACCTATAGACTAGAGATGACTAGACCAACGCAAGCCCTTTTTTGCAGTGGGTCCCTAAACCCAGAGAAATCGCAACCACAAGTGACCCTGAGCCGAAATAGCCCCACACTCTACGCCCTGAACAAACCCAAGCCCCTAACAACAAAGCCTATAAGGCCTAAGCCCTGAACCTCCCCAAGCCCCTAGCTCTGAACCCTAAGCCCTGAGTAACCCCGGATCCCAAAGTTAAAGAACCCCACACCCTCCTCTGATACGCGAGGAGAATGCCTTAAACAGCCCAATCCATAAACCCGTAACTCTAAAACTGAGCAATTCCAAGCCGTCAACAAGCCCGAGCCCAAAACAGCCCCACACTGGAAGCTCCAAACCCTAAAGGACTAGACCGCTAGCCCCAAATAGCCCTAACGCAGCAAACAACCCTAAAACCTCAAGAGCCCTCAGCTTCGAGCAGTCTGTAAGCCCTAATGCCAAAGCTGGGAACTATGAGAAATAAAAAATGCAGAGAATGCGCAGAACTAAGCCCTGAAGAGCGCTAAACAATGGCAACAACCCCAAACTCTCAACACCTTCAGCCTGAGACCCTAAACCCCAAACAGCCTCCGACCGCTCAACCACAGAAGATTGAAACCAGTATTTCTCGCTTTGGCCGCTGCAAAAAGCCACGTCTATAAGTTTACAATAACACCCCGTGCGGATGTCATCATTGGTACAGGTTCCGGTAGGTTTTGGTATAGGGTCTACCGTTTTCGCCCTATCCACTGTGCATAGTGTCCTATAGTTTGGGGAGGGGGCCGAATCCAATTAGCATACGGTCCTATGCAGCATAGGTTGGGATGGCGTCGGCTCTACAAATCCTATAGACCCTATACATACGGGTCTATCTGATAACCGATGGGTGTCTACCTACAGGCATCTTGTTCGATGGGCTTAGGCCCTCTTTTTAGGAGGGGGAATAGGGTCTACATAGGGGTCTATTGGCGCCCATCATAGACGAGTCCTGAGAACACAAGACAGGGGTAAGCTTTTCTCATTGTCAATTGCGTTACTGCTGATGATGCTGCTGCTGCCAGTTGTGGAAGGCTGAGGGTGTGCTGCCTGCGGCCAGGATACTTCATCTCTTGGAGCTTGCTTCCTGCAAATGGATTGCGCGGCACACGCAGTGTATCCTGCCAAGCAGGATTGCGATGGCATCCGTAGCCTGAGCTGGCTGCATCTAACTCCAGCTAGTCGGCAATAAGATCATTTTGGAAGAGGCATCACCAGTCATGAAAGCGACTATCATCTACCAAGTCTCAAGACATTGCCCATCGACTATTCTGCTCACGCTCCCGGTAGTCTGTGTCCAACGGGAGGAAATCATCCCGGTATGCTGGCAGAGAGGGCGGCCGGAAAGATGGCCTCACACTGCTGTTCACGTCATAGTAGGTGTATCCTGCCAGAAGGGTTGATATGGACACGCATGCAGGAGAACTCTGACTCTCAGTGACGGAAGAGAAGCCTACTTCAACAGCCACTCCTGCGTGATGCCACTTGAATGGGAGTGTGCGATGACCATAATTCGTGCCAAAGCCCCACTTGGTGTCTCCCATTGCGGCTATGCCAGGGCCATTTGCGAATGCAACACATCTACAAGCTGCCTTGAGATTCAAGAGAGCATGCAGGTGACAAACACAGGAGATGCCACAATGCACGCCTCTACGCAGTCACGCGTGGATAACAAATATGACAATTTGAGAAACTTGCGAAGGCAACCGCAGCTAGAATCCCATACCCAGTGTCAAACACTAGAGACATCTCAACTGCAACAGGCCCACCTCTGTCCGCAAAGGCCACACCTGGACCTGAAATTCAACTGAAGACTTCCAAGGTTTTGTCCACCACAGGAGGAGAAACTACAGAACTCATTGTCGTGAGTTCGCTGATGTGAACAAAGCCCATGCTAAGACAAACGCTCTTGCAGTTCGATCCCAGTCTGACCTCAGGAGTTTGTTGACTTTCTCGGCCTACCATGCCACACTGTGTTTTCAGTGCGTTCGCAGGCCGGGGCTGTTGCGAGCTGATGTGGTAAGTGACCTTCGGATGCTTTGCCACTGCATGGCTTGACGAAACTGGATGCAAAGGTGTCGTGGCATGTTGTAGCTCGTACTTGGAGCCTGCATCCCAACTATGGACTGGTTCACCTCATCCAACGATTCCGCAGAGACCTGCTGCATGAGAAAAATAACCAAGAAGTTATTGCGGGGTCAAGGTATTACAACCTACTCGCCAAGGGGTGGCCCTTAACTCCCTGGCCCATGCGTGGGACTAGCTTTTGCCTCGATCAGCTCTCGCTTGTACACGTTGAATGATTCCTGGATACCTGCAGGTTCCACGTATTTCCACCACCCTTGCAAACGTGCAGCCCTGCATTGGAGCATGTCACACTGAGCAAACCGGTCTTCGACCTGGTGGGCTCGAGCCAGCGTTGACTGACGCGTCGACAGGGTGGCCGTGTTTCGTGAAGGTCATCAATACCTGCAAGGCTGGGAGCGACTTATGTGGCCAGAACAACCACGGGAGAATCACGCATCAGAAGCTGGGGACTGTGCCCAGGGCTCTTGCTCGGCAGGGCTGGCACGTGGATTGAACACCTGGTTTTCTTAGATCCGATTTCGCTGAATCTTGTCATGTGCTGTGAAGTCATATAGAGCACGAAATGCCCATATCAATATTTTGGGAAGTCAAAAATGTCAAAACCTTGCGCCTCAGTCTGAAAGCCATAGTGCTGGCCAGCGAGCAGCTCCCCGAGCAGTTCGATGCTCAAGCTGTTGCTCCTCATCACACACAGAGGCAACACGGGCTCTGGCATGACTTAACTGCTCAAGCTTGCTCCAAAGCCCTTCCTGTTGTCAACGGTGCAGAACTCAACTGCCAGAAGCGTCTGCATCTTCCGCCCCTCACCATCCTGGAAAAGTGGCATCGCCCATTTCCGCGTAGCTGAAAAGCTGCCTGCCCCTGAAGAGGTTTCTTCTGCAGCCACGTCACCGCAGCATAGTAGGCTGGTTGCAAGTCCTTGGCTGTGCGCAAGTCAGAGTCTGCATCGTCCCAGCGGTAACACAGGGCGGGCTATGCCAAGCGTCCGCGCAAACACCGCTTGAGGACAGCGTGAAGCCAGCAGGAATCACAAGGAGAATCCTGCATCTGTCAGGAATCCATTTGGCCACAGCGCTGCACGCGACGCCTGCCGTCCCTTAGCCCTTGCTCCAGCGTGAAGAACACCTGGCAATGCTCTGCCATGCCGGTGCGGGTGTCTCCCATTGAGGGCCTGGAGCTCATTCAGCACAAGCGCTCCAGTGGCGGGCGAGGCAGCAAAGCCTTGCTCTACCACGGAGATCATGGCAACTTGTACAGTAGCAACAACAGGGCCAAGTTTCGCAGTGCCCCTTACATCCTTTCAGTCATGGTAAATTCGTGGCTGACATTCATAGAACTGCTGGGGATAAGAAGCCTGGGTCCGGATCAAATTTTTGCCAAGAATTGCCAAGAATTAAGTCAACGTGAAGTCATGTTTTCTCTTGCAAGAAGCCGCGTTGACTCGATTTGGACCCTGTGGCTCCTGAGTGCCTTGTTGAAGATACTTCACATAGACGAGCTCACATGCAGTCAAGAGGCGGCTGGGCTGAATAGAAACTTGGCTCATCAAGCCGAGAACGGCAACTCCTGTTCAATGCAAGGGCGGAGCTGGTCAGGTGGAACCTGTATTGCTGGCAACATGCTGCTCCAAGCTCCCTGGTTGCTTAGAAGCAGCATGCTACAAAACTGGCTATGGCCCAGCCTGGTCTGAGTTCGAAGACTTCGCCCTGATCTGCAGAAACCGCATGTCAACAAATCTGCCACTATGTCTGAGCAAGCAGCTTGAAGGGTGTGGCGCGACTCCGCGAATTCAACCACCTCAAGGGGCACACACACGCACAGAGCATCTTTGTACTTGGCAACTCATGCGGTACCTCTCCTAAGGTCTATAGGACTGCTGCCGGCGCAAGCAAACTTGTGCTATGATAGCCTGCGGCCTGGCCAGCATGGTGCTGGATGACAAGGCTGTACAAACAGAAGCTGCAACCACCAGATGAAGATGTCTTGTCGAAAAATGTCTCGCCTGCGACAGCAGCTGCCATACCTAATTCAAGAACAGGGCTGTTAATGCTGCTTGCCAATATCATTGAAGCCAGACTGCCAGACCACAGACATTCAGGAGTTTTCCTGGACATCTGGTGCGAGAACCACATGCTGCTGGTACAAGGCATGCTGGCATGCTGAGAGCAGGTCATTATCAGAGCTGTTTGCAGGGAGAGGAGTCTGTGGATTGGACAGCGTGACCCAAACATCAACCTCAGCTGCAACTGCGCCACCCCCGCAAACACACGCGCTTCCTCTGCGTGCTGTGTGCCAAGTTCTAAACTCGCTCTTCATGCATGGGCATCAGGCATGCGAAGCCAAGGGCAAATAAGATAAGTGCTGCTACCTAGGGAGAAGCAGTACTCATGCACGATGGAGGAGCTGAGTGCCTGGCCCAGCATCCAGCCCAAATTGCACTGTAGGCTTGCAAGGAATACACGCAGGTCTGACCTGGCACCCTTACTTTGACAGCAGCAAACCAGAAACAAACAGAGCTGAGAGTTTCAGCGTGCGAACGCGGAAAACAATCGCGCTTCGCTAGATGAGTGGTAGCGTACTGGCAAGCTGGCTGAACTCAAGGCGCTGAGGTGACCCGCCTGAACAGGACCACCTGACAGCATCGTCAAACCGATTTCTGCTCTGCGATTGAGTTGAACACGTCTGTCCTACGTTCCGAAGATTGGATCTCACAAGACACCTGAAAGATTCAGCAGGAGTTATTCAAGCCTGGAGGTCTCCAGAGAGCCTGTGCCCCATTTGGAGGCCAGTCTGCCTGGCCTTGGTTTACGAAGTGCTTGAGGTCACTGCTTGTTGCTGCACTCTGTTACCAATAATAACCAGGCAAGATGTGCCAAATGTAGGTTAATAGCAGGAGCCCAAGTGTTTTGGAACACGCTTGTCCGCCAAGAGTTGCGGGGATGCAGGTCACGTTGCTTACACAGATCTGCTGCAGTAGCTGAGGCAACCTACGTGACATGCATCCAGGAAGTAAGGCAACTGGGGAAGGCGGACGTCCAGCGGTCGATCATAATTCAACGGCAGCTGTCGGCCATGAATCAAGGAGTTGCAACGCATAATTAGTAAATCCTCTCCCGGAAATTTGAGCACATTGGGACTCTGCCGACGAATATGGCCGGGTTTCAAATAGACCTTCAAACGGCGGCCATGAACCAATGGAGCATAAGCGATCTGCCGGTCCTGTGCGGCTGCGGTTCGACAAGCTACTTGTGTGCCTTGTCACACGCCCGCCAAATTATGGCAGCTGTACAAATTGACAAAGTGAACTGAAACGGCTTCAAAGCCCCGACGAAAGCGTGCCAGCGGTTCCTCTCTAATCATGGGCGTGGATGCTCATGGAAGCTCTAGGCTGGGAATGGCACAAAATCTGGATTGCACACGGAACATTGGCCATGCTCTAGATCGTGCCAGGCGAAGGCCGGCACCTTGAAATGTATGGACAACGTCGGACAACGTCCATGTGGGTCGAATTTGAAATTTCAAATTAACATCAACGGTCTTTCACCTGGCACGGGTCAAATGAAGCCATTTTTTGGACCTGCTTCTCCACCAACAAATACTGCCAAGCCACTGCAAATTGCAGGTTCCCGCGAACGGCTGCGCCTGGTATCCACAACGCTTGAAAAGGCTTGATTTTTCACAGCATCTCATGCATCAGAAGCTAGCACCTTGTCGGCGCTGTCACCTTGACTGGCGGATGAACCAACTTGCACCCAAGGTGTTCCGTCCTGGCAGCCGCAGCACAAGCAGGGCATCAAGATTCACCACAAAGCAGCCTCCCCGCATTGCACCCAGACAAGATGACTGCATCTCCTCATCGCTCCAAGATGACTGGGCCTCTTCAATCGGCTTGCTTCCAAATCCTGAATGTCAGATATCGCAAGCCAGAATGCTTCCGTTAAAATGTGCCATGCGTCTCCCCAAGCAACTGAAGACCCAACGGCTGTTGCAGAGGGCCTTCACCTGTGCAGAGGTCACTCAGCCAATATGAAAGACGGTTGTGGACTCAACACACTGATTTTGCTATGCCTGCCTCCTGCAACATGTCTTCCACGACTTCTGCACGAGGAGCCGACGCACCACAAAAACCTGCATTGGGATGGTGCTCCATTCAATGGGCGTTGCTCAGATATGCCATGTGCACATGAATGCAAATTATATGTGAGCATGAGGCGCTTCAGCGTACTGTAGACATAGAAAAACCCCAGATAGGGCGTCGCTTCAACATTCAACATAGAATTTGCCCACCTGTCGTGATGCTCCTGATCCAGAGTGTGCCGTCAGCATCGTACATGAAGTCACCCTCCACGTTGTGAAGGCCAGACTCAGCGGCAAATACATGATTACCGTACTTGAGCTCGTACAGCTGC